AATGATTTTGCCCATTTGGAGAGGCAAAGTTTAGACCCCTTTCCAAGAGGAGCATAACATTGGCATCTATAGGTATTCTGGATAAACTAATGACCTTATTTTTGCCCGAACAAATAGCATTAAGTTAAACTACCTCCTTCTTGTTTTGACGATTCTTTGAGCTGATATCAATGCCTAAATTCCTTAATTTCTTATCATGTCGGGATCCATGGAATTTATCCATCTTGTTCGCCATACAGTCCACCATAATCCGTAGTTTGCAAAAGTCTTCTTGATAAAACAGCAAAGAAAGGAATTATCTAGTCCTTGTTGTGGTTCTAATCAGGTCATGTAATTTGCCTAAACTTCCTTTTAATCTAGTCTTTAACAAACCACTTTCTCCAGTTTCCTATTAGTGGAAAAAGGTAAATCTGGTTGCCTACCAAGAATACAACATCTAGGTGCCATGTAAAATACAAATTTTTTAAAATCTAATACTATTGACTTGCCGGGATATAGATTTCTTGGTCTTCGTATAGCCAGAATAAAGTTGCTAAGAATTCTTACCATACGTAGATAGTGCATGCGAAGAAAAGTTGGGTTTCGAGAATTAACTTGTTTCATAATTGTTTAGCTTACTTAAATTTCGAGTGAAAGTGTTTGGTGAAGAGATTCAAAGGTCGATTCCACCAGAATCCGCCGTCGTCTTCTAGTGGAATCGATCTTCGAATCTCTTCGCAAAACACTTTCATTCAAAATGGAAGTAAGCTCATCAATTAAGGAAGTACCCAAAAAAGATCTTCACTATAGCGAAATCGAATTCCCTTCGGTTTCATGAGATCAATAAATCTCCTTTGCACCCAGAAACAGCAGTGAAAACTGGCCTCAAATATGTTAAAAGTCTAAGTATGCTCATGCAAAGGTTAAGAAAAAATTTCATTTAGCAATCAAATCTACGTACAAAATGAGTAGTCCGAAATTTTTTTTCCAGAAAGATAAAAAATCTGGATTTAAAAATGACAACAAACATTCCAGTTTATAAGATAAAATCTGCGCGAATTTGTTTTACAAAGGAAAATTCATAGTGAAGTAGAATAATGCAATCAAAGTCAATGACAAACCCATCCATAATTTAATCTTTCCTATGATGCGGCCAATGATATTTACATTGATGAAATACTCCCCTTGTGGCCAAATTACATATTGGAATAAAATACGTAGTAACAGCCATATATTCTTCCTTAAACATTTTTATTCAGTCGAAAAATTCGGCATATGTAGATAAGTTAGCCTCACAAATAAACTGTAAATAGACCAAAAGACTGAAGAGGTCTATTTTTAAGTTTGAGATAAGAATATCCTAAATTATCTATTGTTTGTGTCATTAGCCAAAAAAGTATAATCTAGCCTAGAACCCTTGGCGATGTCGACTACTGTAGTAATGTCGCAGATGGACAGGTCGTACGTTAAATAGCGAGCGAATGCAAATTAAACCAAATGATGAGTACAGGAAATAAGAGAAAGATAAATAAATGAAAAATGAAGTTACGACTAGAAATAAATCATGAAAAGAGTACACCCAAAAAGAAAACAATGAAGAATAAAGAAGATGGAAATTTAAGAGGATGAAAAAGGAGTATAATTACTAAAAATAAATGGGTAAAATAGTACGAACAAAAGAGAGATATAAACCTTAGAAATAATGAGTAAAAAAAGATAAATTCACCTTTGACGCGGCTTCACAGATAGCAGGCCAATTAAGTTCTCCGTGGATTGGTTTGTTAACAAGTTCGCCGGTAGCCGAAAAGCCCATAATATCGTTGCCCACAGAGCTGGTGCGACCGGATTCAGTCTCATGTTTGTGTCGGAATAGCCGAAGCCGAGCTTGACCACGGCCATTGTCCAATTCTCCATGTGTCAAGACGCCTAGCAAAGTGGACTTGCCAGCGTCTACATTGCCTACGACTGCTATCCTGCAGGAACGTGAGTGCACATAGAAGCACCGAACCATACCAAAAGAATAACAGTAAGTATACGCATAAAAAATAGTTTTTCAGCTCCATTCTTTTAAGAGGATTTCCTGGTTGTTGTGCATTCTCTGATGACCCATAATCGCTTAGACTGCTTGCCCCCACTCAATTTTGCATGACAAATTTCACGTGTTCTCGAGTCAACTAAATCGCTTGTTATATTTTTATATCCAATGCAAAAAGCATTAGGTAGACAAGCTTTTATTTTCAATCCTGCTATGTTTGTTAATCGATTTGGTATTCATCAAGCTTGGGTGAACAGAATGGCCTATTTGTTTTAAAATTCACCGTATAGTGCGGGCATTAACTATTGAGATGCCTGAAGACATCTCAATTCCGCCAGGTAAGCCTTTAATAAATAAAAATCATCTTAGCTATGAAAACACCAGAT